GCAATTCTCGGCAGTAGAGAAAGTATATGGTACAATTCTCGCATTTTTCAGGATTATACCATACACTTTCTCTGGAACGACACTCTCTCTGTTTTTCTTTTTTTACCTTGTTCTCATTTCCCTCCCTCTCTTTCTTTTTCTGGACCTTTTTTTTTTGACAGTCTCTGCACCCTTCAACCAAGCATTTTTTTTAAAAATTTTCTTGTGCAGAATCTGTTTTCAAACATTTTTTTAAATTTTTATTTTTGCCTTCATCTTTAAAAACTTTTATTTTATCTTTTTCACAATCAATTCTCTTTTCCAAAACCTTTTCTTTCTTGTCTTTCTACCTTTTCTTTTGTTTTCTTCTTTCGTTTTTTGTTCTTGTTTTTGCTTTTTGAGAGATGTGTTGCTTCCAAGATCTTGAATATCCACTTTGGATATTAAAGATCTATCAAACGCAACGCCAACCGCTCTGCCAAGCAGAATCTGCTGAAGCTGAAAACGGTCAATGGCGGAAGATATCACAAAATTTCAAGACAAGACTTGGTTTAGGAATTATTGTAATTTGAATTGTACTTGCTTAAGAGTTTTTGTTAACAAGCTGTATATTATGAGAAACTAAAAGAAAGTTACAAAATTAGTTCTCAGTACAGCGACCGGAACTCTTAAACACTTGTTTGTCATCATCAAAAAGGGGGAAATTAATGGGAAAAATATAGATTTTGATGATGATGTATTTAGAATGTAATAGGGACTTTAGGTCTCCCCCTAATATTCAATGTAATTTTTCTTTTTAGAAATATTGTTAAAACCGAGTTCTTGAGATTTCCAATAAAGTTGTGATATTTCTTTAAGCGGTTTGATGCCTGAAGACTTAATCAAATTCAGTGATTTGGAAATTGGATATCTTGATCAGAAATGTCAGAGACAAGTAGGGATTTCTCAAAGCGGATGAAAATCCTTAAATCCGGAAGACTACATGAGAACCGGATGTCTCGCTACAACCCGCTGAAGGCGAAGTCGGAAGACTAGCGCGGATTTCTTTCTCACCCGAAAGACTGAGAACGACTCCTCCGGATTTGTCAGCCAAGAACCGGATGCCTCAAGAAAGACCGGAATTCTCAAAAAGCAGACAAGTGAGAAAAGACTTAGAAAATTATCTAAGTCTTGAATGAAGAAATTCTACCTGTTGGTAAGGAAAAATCAATCTCTTGGTTTTCAACGGCTAGATTGAAGATAATTATGCTGATTCAAGAACAAATGACTCAAAAACAAAGTCTGGACTTCTCAAACTGAAGAACCTGTCCAGAATTCCTAAACAAGCACTAGAAGACAAACAGAGTAAAGTGCTGCAGTCCAGAATTCTTGAACAACAGCTAGAAGACGGATTCTGTGGAAAAAGAAATCCCTTCTCAACAAATTGGGTATGTCCAAACACCCATCTTCAAATCACAATCTTCATTCAAAATTGAAGCCAGCAAATGCAACAGATAGTCTATTATGATTCAACGGATAGATTATCCAATCCAGCTATAAATAGCATCCTTGGAAGACTGGAGAAGACACAACAACAACAACAACGACTATGAGATAGACAACCACAACGAAGCAATCTCTAATAACAAAGCTATCTCATTCACAGTTAGCCCAAAAAGCTTGATAAAGAGATATTTCTAAACTCCTTATCCAGAAGCAAACTTCTCCTCCTTCCAAAAGAGCTATAGTGTAAACACTTGAAGGTTTCCTTGCCTCAAGTACCACACCACGTTGAAGGATACAACTTTTGATCAAATTATTGATTGAAAGGGGGTAGGTCAACTTTCTTACAAGTTGGTCTTGCAAGTCCTATTGTTCGGACCTTGCAGTTGTTGAAGAAGCGTGACCTTCAAAGGAACAACAAAGCCAGCACGAGTGCAGTAGCAATATTGGCCTTGCGAAGATATACCGTGCAGAAATTCACACAAGTGTAATTGTTGGTTCATTATTCAACAACCAACTACATAGTGGATTTTGAGGACGTAGAAGGATTACCCCACCTTCGAACCTCGTTAAAGTTTGCGTGTCTCTCTCTCTTATCTTTATTCTTACTTGCAATTATATTAACTGTGAAAACTAACCCATCCATATTGATTACTGCTCACCCTACCCACCAA